GGAGAGAAGAGCATATGAGGAATGCCTGGGGCAACCATAACAAAGGAAGAAATTACAGTTTATTAACACAATTCCAGCAGTCGCAGCATACTGCGTGCTCTAAACCGTGCCCTATACAATCACAACTCTGTAGCTTACAGAGGCGGAGAGTCAGAGATGAAATGTTGGCCAAAATAGCAGCTAACATTTAGACATCTGCTTTAAAGAGAAACATCCTTCTACCTGCCGCTACAAGCCACACAGATCCAGTCTAGTTAACATACTACTGACAGCACAATAAGAAGGCTGCTGTCAGATGCTGGCCAGCCGAGTGTCTGGGACCAAACGCACAGCCCCAGCTGCCTAGTTAGAGAAAGTCTGGCGAAGGACAATTAGACAGGCATATGACAAGGCTCCATGCCTGAGTGACTTGCGGACTGATGACACGGCTTTCAACAACAGTCCCTCCCACCTATGGTCACACAACAGCAATGGGTTCATGGAACAACCTTGTACCACTATGATGTCTTCTTCGGCTCTGAAGAGATGACACTCTGATCTAATACTGGTCTATCAAGAAGCACATGGAGGTTAAATGTCTGGGCCTTCCTACAGCATGCCGAAAGTCAAGGCGTATGTTCAGACTCGCCAGAAACCATTCATAGAGCACAAACCAAAGAATCACCACAAAGCAGGTCATGTCCCGGTCCATCAAATTCCACACATGGAAAACCGCAACAAGAAATCCCAACGCCTCACACTGCACTGTGAGTGCCAGGGAAACTCACTGGAACTTTTAAATCATAAAATCCTCTTTCGTTTTTGTTGTTGTTGTGTACTTAAGACTGTGCTATTTTGTATTTTACCTCTGTAAACATTACAAGTTATTTTTCGGGACAAACAGCACCTCACCAACAGAATCCTCAAGGTATCTGAGTCTCGGCCACAGTGCCTTCACAGAAAGCCACAGGAAGACATACGGTTGACACCTTTCAGTCTATCATCATCATCAAAACACTGTCATGGTGGAAAAGAAACTAACACAGCCAAGGAGAACTTCTAAGGTACTTTAGCTTACAAGTACACTTACAAGAATTGTAAAGAGAATCAAAAGTCAAGGTACAACTTCTTGCATAAAGTTTAAGCGCATTCTAGTTTCTATGCTATACAAAAATATAAAAAAGTCAGCTCACGGGGCTGGGAAGGTGGCTCAGTGGTACAGCACTTGCCTTGCATGCCTGAGGCCCTGGGTTC